AGGTGGCTACCCCTTCAAATGGATTGTTCTTGAATCAAAGAAAGTATGTTCTCGATCTTCTAAATGAAGCTAACATGATGGAATGTAAACCAGCTCGGACACCCCTAGCTAGCAAACTTCAGTGGCATAAAAAAGGTGAACCTCTCTTGGACCCTAGTGTTTATCAGCGAATGGTTGGGAAACTTATTTATCTCACAATTACTAGGTCTGATATCTCATATTCAATTAGCCTAGCCAGTCAGTTCATGCACTCTCCTACTCTAGTTCACCAGGAAATCGTCAAAAGAATACTTCGATATCTCAAGGGCTCAGTAGGAAGGGGGATAATTATGAAGAACAATGGATCAAATCACATCTTGGCCTACACAAATGCTGACTGGGCTGGAAATGCCCTTGATCGAAAATTCACAACAGGTTTTTGCACATTTGTTGGAAGGAACCTTGTCACTTGGAAGAGCAAGAAACAAACTATTATTGCTCGATCTAGTGCCGAAGCTGAGTATATGGCTATGGTAGCAACAACCTGTGAACTCATATGGTTGAAAAGTCTTCTTTCCGAGCTCGGATTCATAAGCATGGCACATATGTCCTTGTATTGTGATAACCAAGTTGCCATGCACATTGCCTCCAATCCAATATTCCATGAAATGACCAAACATATTGAAGTTGACTGCCATTATATTCGTGCTCAAGTTCAATCCAAGGTGATAGACACCGTGTTTACACGCAGCCATGATCAACTTGCTGATTTATTCACAAAAGCACTAGACTCTACTCAGTTTCAGCGTTTGTTGTGCAAGCTTGGATCAATCAATCCCCTTGATCCAGCTTGAGGGGGTGTATTGAAACCGGTTTGTATGGATGGGTTGTATGTATGTGTTGTCATCCTCACCATAGCTTGTCATTCACCTTACATCAACCACATCAACCTTTCTCCATAGCTTGTCATTCACCAATCACTTTCCATAGCTTGTCATTCACCTTACATCAACCTTTCTCCATAGCTTGTCATTTACCAATCACTTTCCATAGCTTGTCATTCACCTTACATCAACCTTTCTTAATTACTTGTAAAAGATTATTTACTTGTAATTTGGTTTTTGCTTTTCCACTTATTAGGGCAGATTTTAGGGATTGTGTTTGTGTAGTTATCCTACAATCTATTGTAGCTTTCTTTTGGCTCTCTATAAGAGTTGCATTCACTCTCTTGTAATCTTCATAATGAAATATACAACAAATATTGAAACCAAAACTCAACAGAAAATGAATGTTTACTTTGCAGTTATTCATACAGAACAAATGAATTATCTTCTAGGAGTTGAAGTGGTTACCTTCATACTTTATGAAGCATACCTATCTGATAGACGAAAGAAAAGGAAGGCGGAAGTAAATGCTGAGGAATTAATGGTTGATAATGAGAGCTTGTTCGAAGGACTCAGGCTGCTAAACGGGAAAGATTTCAACCCACCATAAATTTAGCATACAATTATTTTTCAATTACAAGTGATATTCTGCACTAATCTACACTACAGGGATTGAGAGTTTGAACCTGAAATGCAGTGAGTCAAAGAGAAAGACGCTAACCATCAAGAGAATCCACCACTTGCAGCAGACAATTTTCTTTGGTTTGTCAGTTGTTGGATTTTAACACATGTGGATCATTTGTTGAGAGTTGTACCACATCGGTGAGAGACAAGGTTTGCTATGTGCTTATATGGTCTTGAGCTACTTCCCATATTGCCAATTGGTTTTATGGTGGAACCTCAATTTCATCATGGTATCAAAGCGAGTTGTCCTCGTGTGAAGCCAAACGGCCACACGCGCTCCACGTCACCCAGTTGTTGTCCACGTGTAGGCTTGAAAATCGGCCACACGTACGGGGGCGTGTTGAGAGTTGTCCCACATCAGTGAGGGACAAGGTTTGTTATGTGCTTATATGGTCTTGGACTACTCCCTATATTGTCAATCATTATATGTCTAGGTGAATGTAAAATACCAGACAGTTTTTTGTGCAGTATTATCTACTTCTTTTTAATTATATGAGTATTGACATAGTTATAGAATTATTGCATATGCCAATGCTATATAGATTAGCCTTGATATTGCATGACGATAACGACAATTTGAATCTCTCTTATTCAATTTTTCTATTATTTATCAAATTGGTGGCATGCATGCTCACCGATTCATTATTAGAATTGGAAGAAATGAAAAAATAGGAGTTGGATAACGATAAATTAGAATCCGAATTTTTATTAAAGTTGTTTACTACTTAGTAATGGAGTATTAAATTTCCTTATTCTAAATAAGAATTTTTTATGCTAGTTGATAGAATTTAATTTGCATAACAACATATACTCATAAAATCCAGTTTATCCATGTTGATCATAACAATTTATGTCGGGGACAACTATTGATGGACGAGCTCCAGCCGAGTTGCTCTCCGGCATCTTTACGAGCGCACCCTTGTAAAATTCGAACTTCATGCGGGAGGCTCGACCGATTCTGCTATGGCTTGACTCAAGCTTCTCAGTCAATTTTCTTATTGGTCCAGTAGGCTGGCCCAACAGTTCCAGCTCAAATTAAACGATCCTATGGGAGAGATTTTTCAATGCGATCGTTACACGAGATAGTACATCACGTGTCGTTAAATAAATAGTGAGATATGTGTGTTAAAAAGTTAATAACTTAAAAAATAAAATTTCTCACCACTTACATAAAAATATATGGTGTACTACTCGTGTTCCCATCATAATTAAAAATTTCTCCCTGAATCTGTAGAGCAAAAAGGCAAGACGTAAAGAAAATTTTGTTCCCTTTTCCACATGCAACACCCTTAGCCTCTGCACTTTGTTGGACCCCCCTCTTCCTCCAACCTTGGCACCACCGAGTGCGTTAGGTAAGCTTAGGGGTTGTATCTGGTGGAATTCGTGCCACCAACACCACCTCATCACGAGCGTCGTCCTCTCGGTGCTCTATGCCTGCCTCTTGTGGGATATTCATCATCATCACAAAACGGCTATATTCCTTGATGTAAGAGTGCTTGCACAAATCCAAACCTAATACAAGACACCATGAGATAGTGACACATGGAGATCGAATAGCATGTAAGCCATAAACTAGGAATGAATCTAAGAGTTAAACTTGGGCATCTGATCTCGAGATGCCATCCTACAAACGAAAACATAAGGACAACACGACAAAATTCTTGGAGCAAGCACAGTATGCTAATTAATCTCTAACACTCCCTTCTAATTACTTACTCACTTAACTCCAAGCATTTCCCTGAGATATATAAATCAATCCTTTGATAGTATCTTAATAAAGATATCTGCCAATTGTTCCTCCGTCTTGCGGTAGACTAGTTTAATCACGTTCTTTCACAGAACTTGCATATATATATCTTCAATTGACGTGCTTTATCTTTTGATGATAGGATTTCACCAACAACCCCCCCCCCCCCATAGATATAAAGATCAATGACATAAATGCCACCAACTCTCAAAAGTCTGGAATCAATTTAAAATTTTGAGCCAAATATTGTCTAATACCTTTCCCTTACTTTCCTAATCGACAAAAGCACAATGAAAGACAAAATTTCACGAACTCATAAAAACTAGAGGACAACTGGAACTGGAAAAAATGAGTGAATTTTTTAATGAATTTTTTAGACATTAAATGTAAACATGTAATTTGAAAAAATTGAGCCAGATTTTGTTTAGCCATTTTTTCTATAATTTTATCGTCAACTTTGCTTTTGCAAAACTTTATCCAAATGAGAGCCCGTAATAACTTTTTTTTTTAATTTCAAATACCTCCGTGCTCAATGTACATGCCTTTATCAAATTGATTGAGTTGATAAGAACAAAATTAATTTTGAAAACGTAAGTTTTTGAAAACTTTCAAATCAAGTAATAAGCTAAGAAAAAACACATAGAGAAAAAGAAAAATGATAGAAATATCACTCTCTTAAAATCTTAGAATTAGTTTATTTTCAACCAAAAATTGACTAATACTTTTCTTTTAATTTGTTACTGGCCCACCAACTTTCATAACGGCAAAAGCACAACAAAGACAATGTTGTCACATCCCGGTCCGACGCCTCACTACATCTCGGGCTCAACTCTTTCATAGTATGATATTGTCCACTTTGAGCCCTCACCACGCCCTCATGGTTTTGTCTTTGGGAACTCACACGAGAACTTTTTAGTGGGTCATCCATTCTGGGATTGCTCTCGCGCAAACTCACTTAACTTCGGAGTTTCGATAGAACCCGAAGTCATTGAGCTCCCAAAAGGCATCGTGCTAGGTAGAAATGAGAATATATATAACTTATAGGATCCACACACCTTAGCGATAAACTCACCAAACACTAGAGTCGTGACAATTATACCGGGGCAGATGAATGAAGTTTTGAGACATTGAATGTAAACATGTAATTTGAAAATTTGAGCCAGATATTGTCTAACAATTTTTTCTATGATTTTATTGGCCCTTCAACTTTCCTAATTGGCAAACCTTTATCCAAATAAAGGTCTGCAGTAATTTTTTATTTCAAATAACAATCAAGTTCAATGTACATGCCTCCATCAAAAAATCGCCTCAATCAATTTGATAACAAAATTAATTTTGAAAACCCAAATTTTTGGAAACTTTAAAATAAATGTTGTCTAATATTTTTCCTTTCGTTTGTTACCGGCCCACCAACTTTCATAATCAACAAAAACACAACGAAGATAATGTTACCAACTCACAAAGCGCTAGAGTTATGATAATTAGAACCGAGAAATATGGATGAAAATTTTGAGACATTAAATGTAAAACGTGTAACTCGAAAAATTGGGTCAGATACTGTGTAATGGTTTTGTCTATAATCAGTAAACTTCCCAATTGGAACACCCGCAATAATTTTTTTTTTTTTCTAAAACATCTCCGTGCTTAATTTCCCTATAAATCTAGAACCAGCATTTGTTCCCTACATCTTTGTGCAGTCTCTCCATCGGTCCTTGTAGTCTTGCTTCTATTCCTTTCACAAAGTAGTTCTCTCTCTCCTTAAATCTCTTCTCCAAAATGTCTTTCTCATGTGATATAAGTATGCCATCATGATACCTTTTGAAGATCTTTCGAATTTAACTTCAAATGGTGTTCAAAATATTTTTGTTGCACCATCCTCCACACCTCAAATGGTATTTCGAGAAGTCCTACCCTTTGAAAACCATGAGATACAGGCCCCTGTTGATCCAAAAGGTATTATTAGCCCTATGGAGGGCTCGAGTAGTACTATACATGAGGTACAGGCCCCTGTTGATTTCTGTAAGTCCCTGCCTCTTGACTAATTTGGCCCCTCATCTCTAATTAAAAAGTACTTCTTGGTTTAACTGGAATTTGATTATACGGTAATTGACGGAACATTTTCAGTTTACAAAGGCAAAAACAGCAGAGTTGAAGGCGAGGTGGCCAGAGAATACAGACCGTGGAAACCCCGAAAACATGCGGATTGTAGTATACCAACCGCCTCAAGATGCTGACCCCATGAATATGACACCAAACATCCATGTATAATTTCATTCGTTTAATTAACCCTATAATATGTGTGTGTGTGTGTATGTTTCATTCTTACCTAACTTGTTTTACATATCCACAGGTAGAACAAGTCCAAGACAAGCCGGCAAGATCGCCGACCACGGTGATCGATGAGGACATGGGTGTCATTTGGACTTCCCAAAGAACTTTGGGAGGATTTAATGACGAGGTGAGTTAGATCCAGCAATTTAATTATATACACATCTATATGTATATATTTTTGACATGTAAAACTTTAAGATATATATAATATAAACAGTTGTTTTGTTCAATATACAATATTTCTTTGTTTGTGTTTAGGATGAGACAAGATCAGCACCAAGGAAGAGAAAAGCTTCAGATGCAGAATGTGCCCCAATCTAAAGAAAAAAACAGAAGCGATGGAAGAAGCGGGAACAAGAACTGAGATCGCCTATATGGAGGAGTGCGAGATGATTGCCCCAACTTGGAGGACACCGTGATGTATCTCTGTCCCATTACCTGGTGATCTCCATGCATGAGATTTAAACGAGAATGTGTTGATTCAAAACTGTTAAGTTTTTTTACTTTCAGTTTTGTTTCATCATAAGACTATAATATTTTGGCTACTTAATATTATTGTCTAGTAATATTTCTCTGTTACTTGTAATTAAGTGAAAGGCATTAAGTACATATATGTGATATGACGAGTTCAATACTAATATATTTTGCCACTTGTTAATCTAAATATATCGTTGTATAAAAAAAATGCATGGATCTAAAAGAGCGAGATTCATTCATTTGGTCATTTTTATCATATTTTTTCACTACATATTTTGCACATAATCGATCATGGAATGCATCAATGAACACTACCCGTCAAGAAACAACATGATAGGTGAGGAATTGATGATTAGAGTTTAATTTGCAACAAATTATCAAATGTGGTTATTTTTTTAACACGTTTGTAAAACCTCTCCATAACCCTATCAATTAATAACCTTAAAGTCATAAAACAATTATAGTCTCAATTTGGGCTAGTTATGTATAGGAATAAACTCCACATTATAATAAGTTATATATTTTCTAGGTCTCGTTTTAGTGAAACTTGTCTCCACATAGTGATTATCAATAAGTATGAAAATAATATGCAATGTCATAATTTAAAGTTTAAAATGAACTAATATATTTCTTTAAAGTTGTTTTTGCTTTAAATTTTTAGAGTTGATACCACGTCTTTGAGCTTGCGGATACATAATACCTCGTCAACATGGACATCTTTTTGTTGAAGCCAAATATCTCTAACTTCTCAAACATGTTTACAATTTCTTGGTATGGGAAAGGGATCCTCTCCGGATCCCTTCCACCAAATCCACCCAATCACCTAAGCCAGACTCTTGAAATTTGACTCAACGGCTAAAGTTATTATACATTTTAAAGGGGCTCCCTGTTTGTAGCTATTGGATCAAATTAATTAATTTGGTGGATTTGGTGGAAGAAATCCGGAGAGAATCTCTTTCCTTTGATATGCTACTTTGGTACTATTGTACTGTCGTCCTCAGGATTAACTCCTCCTTCTTGTTTGATTGCATTAAAGATTTATTCTTATGTTAAAAGGAAAACTAATGAAAATGACTTGAAACTTGAAAACTTTGAGTTTTAACCAAAATGACAAAAATGTGTTGTAAGTGAATAGTACCAGAATTGACTCTTTAGAGTAAAAATGTACTTAACGTTAAAAGTGAACAATACTATAAATGTTTCGTTAAGACTCTCTATATCAAAAGCATACACAACTTTTTGCACAAAACATGAATAATTTCAAATTGCATTGGGTGTATTGTATGTATTTATGTAATTTGCTTAGAAAGAGAGGTATGAAATGAATGACATCATTAAATACATACATGCACTAATTTTGAAAGATTAGATGTCTTCCTTTTACTATTGTTACATCTTGAAGCCAAAGCACAATGACAACAGTGTCACCAACTCTCAAATTACTAGAGTCATAACAACTAGATTCGGGCAATTATGAATGAACATCTGGGACATTGAATGTAAACATATAATCAAAAATTTGAGCCAGATATTTTCTTACATTTTTTCCTTTAATTTTACCCGCCCACAAACTCTTCTAATTGACAAAAATATCCAAATATATAGCCCCCATGATAAATTCTATATTTTCTTTCTGAAGATCCGTGCTCACTGTACATGCCTTTTATTTTAAGGAAAAGTAACGAAAATAATTTGAAAACTTTGAGTTTTGATAAGGACAAAATAAAGGATAAAGTGAATAGTACCAGGATTGACTTTGTAGTGTAAAAATATGGTTTTTCGTTAAAATGAACAGTATCGAGAGCTTTTTGTTAAAGTACCCTTTATTTTATGAAGTTTCCATCCTTGTTATAGATCTAGAGCTGACATTTCTCTTCCATACATCTGTGTCAACTTCCCTCCTCTTCTATTATTGGCACTCCAAAAATTTCATTGTGCACTTCAAACTTTCTACATTTAAAAAGAAAAATATACTTATGAAAATGCATGATAAGATTTTTGGAGTACCAATAACATTACTGTGGATGCAAATTTCCGTCATCTCTTCCTTTGACAAAAATGCACCTACAAAATAATAACATATAAGATTAAGGTCAGAAGTCTTACGCGCCCACGATGAATGGGAGCTTTGGCCGAAGAATCTCCAATGTCAAAGTTAGAATTCTAAAAAGAATGTGTTTAGGAGTTTGTGGGTAGCAAAATGGCTTAGCATTTTAGAGGGATGGTAGGGGTATTTATAGGAGAGTGGCCCGCCCCTTTTGGTGGAGAGTGGACGGCCATGTATGGTGTAATTGGGGTGAATAATTGCAAGATATTATGTGAAATAATATATTGTAATTAACATGACAACTATTACTAAATTAAATCGGAAGTTTTGGGAGTTACCTTTTGAATAAAATCAATAAGGAATTGATGAGGAGTGATGAGAGGAATATGAAATAAATTTCATATTTGATCACCTTTGACTCTTCCTTGATTGAGCTGTTATTGTCTGTTGCATGTGCGTGGGAATCCCGGTGTGCCTCTAGGGTAATCTTGTTTTTTTAACCCAAAAGTTCACGTGTCACCTCCATGATTTTTGGATTATTTTTTGCTCCACAATTACCCTATAGAGAGCAGCCAAGCTTCCTTAGAATAAGAGAGAGCAGTGGCAAGGGGATTTGGATTTGCTTGGCAGGAAGAAGGCTTGTCCATATAGAAAGCAGCAGAGCTTCCTCTATAAGGAACTAGATCCCAATCCGTTCTCCTTGTATTGACCCTGCAAAAATTCACGAGTTAAAAAGTTAGACAACGAGTTAGATTCACCCTTTATATATTCTATGTCAAAATCGAAAACAGATAAAATGCCTTGCCATCTAGCAAATATTTGCTTTGAAGCCAGGTTCTTGACATCTTTTAATAAAATATCCTTGGTTGCCTTATAGTTCATCGTGATCTGGAATTGTTTATTGAGAAGGTCACTTTCAAATTTTTTGACTGACAATTGATAGAATTTCATTCTTTGCTAGGGACTAATTCTTTTGTGCTGGTTTTCAGACCCTAGAAGTAAAGCGAACCAACCGTTCTTTTCCATCTCTAGTTCTTTGTTTCAGAACTCATCTGTACCCTTCATCAGAATCATCAATTTTAATTATTTTAAAATCTTCTGGATTAGCTAGAGCTAAGCATGGCAACCCTTGGGGTTTTCTTTTTGACAGTCGGACAACCTGAGTATAACTTTTAGTCCAAAGAGCAGGGGTTTTCTTCAAGCTCTGGTATATGAGCTTGATATCCTTTGCAAGATCCTTATAGAAGTCAACGACATAGTTAAGACTTCCCAAAAATCTTTGTAGTTTCTTTTTATCTAGAATTTCATATGGAAATTTATCAGCAAAAGTAATGGCTCAACCAATGGGTAACTTAACCCCTTGTGCATATTATGACCTAAAAATTGAATTTTTGTTTGAAAGAGTTTCATCTTTTTGGCTGAAACAACTAAGCCTGCGTTACCACTTTCAAGAAGATATTAATATGTTTGAAGTTTTGTTCCAAAGAGTTAGAATAAATCAAAACATCATCAATGTAAACAATAGTGAAAGTAGTATAAGGATTGAAAATATCATTCATAATTTCTGGAATTCGGGAGGAGCATTTTTCAATCCAAAAGGCAACACGTTCCATTCATAATGTAATGGCACATCAAATGTAGTTTTACACCTATCCTTTTCAGCAATTTAAATATGCCAATAACCATATTTCATATCGAATTTTGAAAATATTAGTACTTAATTCAGCATGTCTAACAAATTCTTCTTATTATATTAGGAATGAGATACCTTTTCCACCTAAGACGTTTATTCAAAGGCTTGTATATTATAACTAATCCGGGAGCTCCTCATTCTAGTTCAACCGCATTCTCCACGTAAAAAGCTAAGCAACTTCACAACGAGTAGCTTTTACGAATCAACTTCTTTTCAAGAAGCTTGGTTATTTCCTGTTGACAGATTTCCATTAACCTGTTATTCATTTGAATGGGTCGAGCCTTTGTTGGAATCTTCTTTTTATCAAAATCAGGCTCACAAGGTAACTCAACAATGTGCCTTTTACCATCCCAAAAAGCACTAGAAATTTCAATGGACTCAACCTTTTTTTTAACTTTAGTAGTAAGTTGTTTTTTTTTTTTAGAGGTTGCACTTGGTGCGATGGCAAGTGCATTCGTCCATGAGCGGTAGGTCTCGGGTTCGAGACTTGGGAGCAGCCTCTCCATAAATGGGGGTAAGGCTAGCCGACATTCACCTCTCCCAGACCCTGCGTAAAGCGGGAGCCTTGTGCACTGGGTACGACCAGTGGCGGATCTATTAAGGGACCATGGTGGTCTCGGGACCACCCGAAGCTCGGAAAAGTGGCTGTGAGGATCTTCAAGGACCACCCAAATCTGGGCAGTGATGGAAGAAGAACAGCAGCCATGGCTGCTCTGGTCGTGTGCATTTCAGAATGGGGAAGAAGAAAGCCAATTTTTTTTAAAATGACTTGGCCAAAACGACGTCGTTTTGAGCCAAGTCATTAAAAAAAAATTAAAACCTCACTGCCCACTCACGTGAGAACCCTCAGACTCAGCTCATTCACACAGCAATCACAAGATTCACAACTTCACTTTACCAAATCGTTCAACTCTCTTCGTTCTCGTTACCAAATCCTTCACACAACAAGGTCCGCTCTCGTTCCTTACGGCGTCGGCATCGATCAACTCTCTTCTGCACTGCACTCTAGTTTCTGAATCTGAATCTGAATCTGAATCAGGTTTGTACTCTCTTCTCGCTCTCGTTCCTTCTGCTTTGCTTTAGTTTGCTTGTATGGTGTTGGCGTGTGGATGTTTCTCTATTGAGTCGAAAGTGGCGCTTTTTAGTTTTCTGTAAATCAAAGCACAGTTTTGTAGCTCCTAAATTTTTTCCCGATGCAAACACTCTTGTCTGTCTAAGATGCTTATAACCTAAGAATCCAAATCTCATTGAATGAAGCACACTAACAGAACAAACCCTAAATAAACAATCAATTAAACAGCACCAATGAGTTTTGTGAGTCCCAACTACGTACCTGAGGTATTATTTATATTGCTTTCGTGCCTTTTGCTATAATCAATTAACAGGGAAGAATGTTTGGCCACATTTTCATGCCTTTTGCT